CTACAAACTGCATTTTTCTGACTTAGCAAACTAATTTATGCTACCTTTGGTCGTTCCTTTTATTAATATTGATTGTAGTAATTTTCCATAGTAAACTTAGTGTAGACAGCAGGTACCCTAATACTACTTAAAAGGTGATAGTTTAAACATACTCAAAGACTCCTTGAGATACAGGCCTACTAGTCTGCTTCTGAAACATCACATCCTTCAGTCCACCTGGAGCAATTCTATTTTACAATTATAGTCACTAGGAATCAGCAGCAGCCCAAAAGCAACTAACAGCAGCACTAACTTTTATCACATTTTGTGTTTTACTATAATTTGTGCACTTCTTTTTTCTTTATACTATATGGTTTTTATATCTACTAGAATTATTTTTTAGGGAACTGTGGTGGCTTAGCCTGTAGAGAGTTGTGCATCTACCCTGTGGGTTGTACATCTCTGATGGCTCAAAGTCACCTGTGGCTCCAAGGAAGAAAGATGGATAGTTTGCCGCCATGCATTTTACAGCCTCAGAGAACTGTTGGAGGGAAGGCTGTGATTCAATTTTAGCACAATAGCAATGAGAATGAGGAAATAAATAAGGAATTTTTAAGTCTGGCACAAAATTATTTTTCAATAAATTTTTATTTTTCAGAATACTTATTTTTCCTATTATAAATTAAATATCAAATAAGAATAGAAAATTAGGGATAAGGAATGGAAATAGGTGTAAAGTAGAATGTTAGGGAAAAAATTTTGCTATAATTTTTTAAACAAAAGAGCACATAAGAGAATTATCTTTCAGAAGCATAAGAGCCATGGTTTGGCCAAATAATGGATGTGCTATCTATATAATGTCTTTGACCATGACCATATTTTCCCACTTCCTATCTATCTTCTTTTTGCATTCTAGTCACCAGTTATTAATGCATTTTTATTACATACTTAATCAGTTTCAGGCTGCAGAAATTGATAGAATTCCACCATCTCTTCATTTTTAGTTTTGTGACTGCTGCATATATTTGCAACAATCTGTATGCAGAGCAGATCATTTTTGCTAGGAGGGGCTATTCCTTGGAGGATAGGATGCTGGGAAGGGTGGAGGGTCAGCAAAGCAGAAGACGACCCTTAACCAGGAGGATTGACCTGCTGGAAGGTTAGCTATGGGTTGATTCCAACACGACGATACTTAACAACAACCACATTAATAATACATTTATGCTAATAGATTTATTTACCTTGAATTGGAATTTTATCTGGTTTTTTATCTTCATTTGTTTGAGTCTAGAATTGGCAGTCATTTGTACAAAAAGCAGGGAGATTATTTTTTTTAATATGTCAATAAAGGCAATCTGTAAATTCACCAACTGTTCACAGAATAAATGTGTTATTTACCTTGTTTGAAAAGTTGTAAATGACCAATAAACAAATTGTAAATTTTTAAAACTTTTTTATTAATTTCAATGAAAATTTACAGAGACTTTGGATTTCCATTCATTCATTGTTGCACTTTTATCCCCTCCCAACCCTCCTTCTGCCCAGTACACTCCCCTCTTGGAAAAGTAAAAGAAAAAATTCTTTCATTGTTTTACAGTCCCTCCCACCAGGTCCACTCCACTGCGCAGCCTTTGCTCTGGACAAAAATGCCTAATCACATATCCCTTTTAAATAGTTTTCTCCCTCATCTGTTTCAATGCAGTATACATTATTTAACCCGTCTTTCTCAGTCTCACTGTTTTACAACAGTGGCACCATGCAATATTTGTCCCTTTGTGACTGAGGTACTTCACTCTGCATAATGTCCTCCAGGGTCACCCATTTTGAATTATATTGCACGAGTTCCTTGTTTTTCAATGCAGCGTAGTATTCCATTGTGTGAGTATACCACAGCTTCTCTATCCATTTGTTTGTTGATGGGACAAATTGTAATTTTTAAAAGAAGTGTTTTTAAAAAGAAATTTAAAATATTATCATGCATTAAATTTATATTCTGATCCAGATTCTCTTTATCAGTCTAAAAGAATTTAGTACTTAATTTAAAACTAGCATTTAAGATTAAGGTTGAAAATTTTCTCTAATCACCTTGTAGCACTTTAAGAGATTTTGTAAGGAAAACATAATATAGACACAGTTACCCATGTTAATGTTTTGTTGGATTGCTCCCTTCATGCTTATGATGTTTGATTTATAGAATTATTTTTAAAGTATTTATTGAACAATAAATCTTATTTTCCTTATGGCAGACTTTGTCTATAACCTGAATACAGATTACGTTACATAATACCAATTGACAATTTAACAGTTACTCCTAATACCAGATTCCTTTGAGAATGCACACATGAAGTTTTATATTCAATTTTGGAGCTTCTTGGACACAAGCTTATGCTTTTCTGGGTAGGATCTTGCTTAACTTGCACTTGGTTATTCAAGATTTAGTAGTCAAGACCTGTGGTTACTAACTCCTGGATCACATCTTTTACTTTTAATAAACTCTCGGCACTCATTTTTGGTTTTCCATTCTGATTTGAGTTTTAACTGGAGACTGAAGTAAGGAAGACTTCATTTTCACCTCCTTTGTGTAATGCTCAATTTGGCCACACCAGTATATGTCATGCCAGCAGCTGTGGTATGATTTTATTCTTGTACCACTTTTCTTTCCTGAAAATACATAAAAATATCCCTGTTCCTTAAAGAAAGAGACTTTGAAACTATTTTAAACTTTACCACCAATGCAACCCAGTAGAAAAAAAGGTAATTGAGAGAGAATGGTCATTGAATGTAACCTACAACATACCAGTGGAAAATGACCTTATTTGTCCAGATATAGGTCCAACTAGATGTGTAATTAGAGAGAATTCTTTAAAAGCCTTTTCATAAGCTGCTGTATTCCAACTTGAATATAAAAAAAAAGTATGTAATATTGAACTATGTGTCTAATAGCCAATTCAAGTTGATAAATGGGAAGTAACTGATTACATTCTTTGTAACAGTGATAGGCTATTTTAATCTCTTTTTGTATTATGGTGTTGGTGAAGAATATTGTTGTTGTTATGTACCATCGAGTCACTTGCGACTCATAGCGACCCTCTGTACAACAGCCCTAAACTCTGCTCTATCCTGTGCCAATCACACTGCCTCCGACACACCCATCCCTATTACCCCAGTCACTGAATCAATCCACTGCATAGAGGGTCTTCCCCTCTTGTGCCGTCCCTCGACCCTACCAAGCATGATGTCCCTCTCCAAGGACCTGTCCCTCCTTACAACATGTCCAAAGTATGTCAAACGAAGCCCCAGAATCCTTGCCTCCAAGGAGCAACCTGGTTTAACCCTCCCCAGAATGAATCTGTTTGTTTTCTTGGTAGACCATGGTACATTCAGTACTCTTCTCCAGCACCACAGCTCAAAGGCATCAATTCTCCTTCTGTCCTCCCTAGTCATTGTCCAACTCTCTGATGCATAACAAGTGATTGCAAAGACCGTAGCCTGTATCAGACGCACCTTAGTCTCCAGAGTGACACCATTTGCTCTTGAGTACTTTAGAGAAGTCCTTAACAGCATACTTTCCCATCGCAATACATTTTTTTATTTCCTGGCTACTGGTGCCAAGAGTGTTGACCATAATGGAATTAGTTGGATTTTGGAAAGTGGGTTCTTTTGTTTTGGTTGAGGATCGGGTGTGGACTGTTTGGTTGTTTTTTATTTTGTTCCCAGTCAAGTGTGAGCTGATTGGATTTAGCTAGCAGTGAGCTATGGGCTGGATATTTAGAGTCAGTCAGGAACTGGTGGGCAGGACTTTGTATTTAAAAGTACATTGGGCCCTTGAGCCTGCCGCCCTTGGACTTTATGTTAATTGTGTTTGGGATGAACATTCTTCTAAGGGGTATAGCACTAGTCTGTCAACTTGCTATACTAAGGTAACTTGGGGTTGCTGTGATGCTGGATTATTAACATGTTGGACAGTGTTGGTGGAGCTCCCAGATTAAGACAGGCTTGGAAGCAGGACTGGCATCCACTTCCTAAACAGTATATGCCTCTGGAAATTCAGTGAACTTAGAGAAATATGATAGTTATATAGAGTTGAAATCTTTTATTCATAGGGTCTCTGTGAGTTGTGCTCAATTTGATGGCACTTCACAACAACAACAATAACAATATTCTCTCTTGGAGAAAGCACAGTCAGGTTGCTCGTTAGGGACAATGATGGTGAACCTTTATCTCATAAACTTTGGGCATGTTATCAAGAGAGGCCAGATCGTGGGAAAAGGCATCATGCTGAAAAAGATAGATGGTCAGCAAGAGTGAGGACAGCCTTCAATGAGATGGATTTATAATATTACTTAACAGTGGGTTCAAGGCCTGCAGACATTGTGAGGACAGCACAAGGTAGGACAAGGTTCAAATCTCTTCTTCCTGGGGTCATTATAAGTAGTCATTTCAATGGCACCTATTAACAACAACAATAATTTCCTGTATACACAGAGGCTTTAGGATAATGAGGCTTTAAAAACCAATTTAAGTTTTAAATACATTGTTTCTTAAATACTGTAGTTGGCTTTGAAGGAAAAAATATATCTTCAATTAAACTGAATTTCAGAACAGAGCTTTAAAATGTTATATCTTTTCTTTTGAACACTTTCTGTACCATACAGTGGGTATCATTTTTTTTACTAGAATAAAATATGTAATATGCTTGTGTTTTCCTAAGGGTTTTGGATATTTGTCAGTATAGTTAGATTTAACAGTATGCTTATGTGCATTATTCATGAGAATTAGTGCATGTCAGAATAATAGGAAATAAGCCTATTTATAAGCCTATTATAAGAAAACCAAATGTGAATATTTTAAAGTAACACATTTGCAAAACAGGGCACTCAAACAAACAAATACAGCTTCATGCCAAGGTTGGATTCTTTTTTCCCAGTGTTTTTTTTGGGGGAGGGAGGGAAACTCTGTCAACTAACAGAAATTATTTTATGTTGCTTTGTTGCTTATTTATTTCTTTTATCATGTTTCAGCATTAAAGCTAGGTCCTGAATCGTTCAAATTTGATGGTGCACTAGAGGCTGTGGCAGTCCGACAGGCTGAAAAGTATTACATCCTCCGCCCAGAAGTAATTGAAACCTACTGGTACCTATGGCGATTCACTCATGATCCAAGATACAGACAGTGGGGCTGGGAAGCAGCACTGGTAAGTAAGCCAGTATTTCATTTTACCTGAAAAATGCTTACATTGGCCCAAACTATTTGATATCATATGCTATTATATCCTTTACTTCATTTTCATTAACTATATACCTGTTTTCATTAATCTGATGAAGAAACTGTGTTAGTCAATTTAAATTACTTAACAGTAGAAATAAACTTTAGAATCCTGTTTTGTTCTCTATTAAAAAGATATTCAAAATACCTCCCTGCTAATAGTTATGTGTTACTTTACTGAATGGTAAGGAGTCATTTGAAAGACAGTTTTTCACTACTTTTGAGTCAGTTCCATTTCAGGGTGACCCTGCATTGGGTTCTTGTGGCTGTAAATCTTTACTGGAGAAGGCTATCTTTCTTCAACAGAGTGGCTGGTGGGCTACAACTAACAACTATTGGGTGATTACTTAACCCCCAATACACACAAGACATAATTTTCTGTACTTTCATTTTAACGTGAAACTTCTACGAGGTGGGAGGAAATTTCTCTATACCTGTCCAGGTTCACAGCTAGAGTTTTAGATACCCTTTACTTATTTTATATTCTAAATAATTCCTTAATGGATCATTTAAGAAGAATCTGAATTGTTAGAACGTTTCAATACTAAGAGAACAAAGAATATATATAAATGTGAAAGGAAGACGTTTTAATGGTTGATAAGTAAAGCAAGCAAATGCTTCCTTCTGAAAATACTAGCTCTGCCAGGAAACAGTTTGTTCTTGAGACTGTTTTAATTCTTATGTTTATTAGTTATGTCAAGTATTACTAATTTGATGGATATTCATATTTTAATTAGTATTAAGTTTGATAAAAGGAGAATTAATGCTTTTGAGCTGTGGTGCTGGAGAGAAGAGTATTGAATATACCATGGACTACTAGGAGAACAAACATGTTCATCTTAGAGAGGATGAAGCCAGGCTGCTCCTTGGAGACAAGGATTCTGAAGCTCCTTTTGACATTCTTTGGGCATATGGCAAGGAGGGACCAGTCCTTGGAGAGGGACATTATTCTTGGGAAAGTGGAGGGATAGCACAAGAGAAGAAGACTCTTGATGAGATGGATTGCTTCAGTGACTGGGATAATGGGGGTAGGTGGGTTACTCAACAGCACATAACTACTACAAGTTTTCAGCCTAGTTAGACTGACTAAAGAAATCACAAGAGAGGTCGTGGTTATTAAGTATTGTCAAATTGGAACCAACTCCTAGCTGACACTCCAGCAGATTTTCTGAAGCAGTAAATGTGTGGGAGGAGGTTGCCCATCTTTCTCCCAAGGAACAGCTAGCCAGTGGATTAAAACATTACTGGAGGATACTATGTGCCTTTGGAGTGGCAGAGCAACTCCTTACCACTGAGTTACCAGAGCTCCTGCAGGTGAGGTAGTGGTGGTGGTTGTGCACCACCATCAAGTCAGAATTAACCCATATGACCCTCCTTCAGAGGCAGTAAAGCACCCGAGAGGAGATTGCCCTTCATTGTCTGTGGATCAACCGATATATTCGAGTCAGGTGTCTTTGAATTGGCAGCACAATTCTTAAATTGCAACAAGCTGAGACAGAATATAATGGTATGTCATTTTCTCTGAAATCTTCAGACTTTCAAACTTACGTATTTTCAGCGTGAGAACTTCCCTTCAAGAAATTACTATGGTTTGAAGAAATTACTATGGTTTGAGGCTTTTCTGCCATGTCTCTGATACACCTTGAGTTGATTTTTGTGTATGGTGTGAGACGTGGATCCTCTTTCACCTTTCTGCAGGTGGAAGTCCAGTTTTGCCAGCACCATTTGTTGAAGAAGTTATCCTTTTCCCATTTGATAGCTTTGATTTCCTATTGAATATCCGTTGACCATAGATAGCTGGGTCTTTTTCTGGGTTCTCAATTCTGTTCCATTCTATGTGCCTGTCTTTGTACCAGTACTATGCTGTTTTGGTTACTACTACTGTATAGTAGATTTTGGTCAGGGAGTGCTGTTCCTTCAACCTCATTTTTGTTTCTCAGAAGTGTTTTGTTTATTTGGGGTCTCTTGGCCTCTCCAAATAAATTTGATCATTTCCCTTTCAATCTCTTTGAAAAATAAATTTGGTACCTGGATGCATTGAATGTATAAATTGCTTTTGGTAGGACTGTCATTTTCACAACCTTGAGTCTTCCTATCCATCATGAACAGGGCACATTTTTTCCATTTCTTAAGGGCTTCTGTTGTGTTTTGCAGAAATTCCCTGTAATTTTCTTTGTATAAGTCTTTTGTATCACTAGTTAGGTTCACTCCCAAGTATCTCAGTTTTTGGTAGGCTATTGTAAATGGTATTTGCTTTCTTGATTTCCTTCTCTGTGTTCCATTTGTTACTGTAGAGGAATCCTGTTGATTTTTGGATATGGATCTTATATCCTGCCACTCTACTAAATTGGCCTATTAACTCTACAGGTATTTGGTGAGTCTTTAAGGTTTTCTGTGTACACTGTCATATCATCTGCATATGGAGACAGCTTAACCATCTTTTTGCCAGTCTGGCTGCCTTTTTATTTCCTTCTCTTGTCGTATTACCCTCGTAAGCACTTCCAATACAGTATTGAAAAGAAGTGGTGACAGTGGACATCCTTCTCTGGTCCCTGTTTGCATGGAAAATGATTTTAGTCTTTCTCCACTGAAAATGGTGTTGGCTCTTGGTTTTGCATATATACTTTCATAAGAGACAAACAGGGATCAAGCTTAGAAGCGCTAGTCCAAGGTATAAAGAGACTGCCAAATACAACCAGAAATACAGTCTGAAGAGAATAAAATTGATGCACGGGACCTTCTAAAGATTAAATTCATGTGTGCATCAAAACCTTTTCCCAACAGAGTGTAAAGAAAACCTACAGACTGGGAACAAACATTTGGTAATACCATATCAGACAAGAGTCTCATAACGAAAGTCTATAGAATACTCCTGGGCCTACACAAGAAAAAGACGGATAACCCAATTACAAAATGGGCAAAAGACATGGAAAGAATTTTCACCGAGGAAGATAATATAATTGCAAATAGACACATGAAGAACTGCTCGAAATCACTGGCAATAAGAGAGATGCAAATCAAAACCACAATGAGGTACCACCTCACTCCAGTAAGAGTGGCAAAGTTTAATCGGGCAACAGGTAATAGATGTTGGAGAGGATGTAGCGAGAAAAGAACTCTTATACATTGTTGGTGGGATTGTGAAATAGTACAACCATTCTGGAAGGCAGTTTGGTGCTTCCTCAAAAAGCTGAACATAAAAATTCTGTATGACCCAGCTATTCCACTACTTGGAATATACCCTAAGAAAATGAGAACTAAGGCACAAATGGAGATTTGTACACCAGTGTTCATAGCAGCATTATTCATCATTGTAAGAACATGAAAACAGCCCAAATGTTGAACCATAAATGATTGAGAAATTATGGTACATTTGGAATGTACACAGTGGAATACTATGCAGCACACAGGAGCAATGACTTTGCAAATTATTACCTAACATGGGAGGGACTGGAGAGCATTATGCTGCGTGAAATAACTCAGTCCCATAAGGATAAATATTGTATAAAACCATTATTGTAGAATGAGTATAAGGATCCAAAAGCGGTGGGTGAGGGTGTAAGCAGAGGGATGAGGATGTGCAGGAAGAGAAGGGTATTAGTCATGGGGTAGTACGATTTTTTTTTTCAAGGTCTTTGCTTCTCTTACTGGGTTGTACGATTTGTTGGATGGGAGATGAGGGAAATGGAAAGAATTTGTTCTTGAAAACAATGTATTCAAATTTTGTAAATAAAATAGTAGAAAATTAGAAAAAAAAAAGACTATGGATTAGTTCTACCTCTCTGTGGTTTCCCAAGTATATTTAAACTGTTCAGAAAACATGTAATAATTCTGGTGAAGACAGTGTTCAAAACCTCTTGTATTAAAATAGATTTCAAGTACAAGTAAAACCTGACTTAATATTTATTTGAGTTATGAGGGACCATAAAAGAGACTGCTAATTAAAATCAGTAGTAATAATGAAAACCTAAACAATTAAAAACCCCAACTCAGAACTTTTTTATATCATGTGAACAGAACCTCATCTTAAGTCAGGAATTACCTGTATTCAGGAAGATAAAAACACAAAGTTCTGTGATTTAAAGGTTTTAAAATCTAATTATAATTAAAATACACCTCCTCCTAAGAAAACCCCTGTCATCAAGCTGATTTCTACTCTTGTTCATGTTGTTAGGTGTCCTTGAGTGGGAACCAACCAGAAACTATAAATCACACAAGAGGAGATTGCCCATAGATACCTTGTCGAGCATTATATAAATTTGAACCACATGCCTTTAAATTAGCTCAACTTCTTACCCACTAGGCCTTTATAATACAGAATAGAACTGCTTCTTAACATCTCCAAGGCTGCAAATATTTACCAAAGCACACTTCATCATTTTTCTCCTATGGAATGGCATAAGGATTCAAACTGCCAGGTTTTTAGTTAGTAGCTTGATGCTTAATTCCACTGTGCTACCAGAGCTCCTTCTAACCAGTAAAGCTACAAAATAACAGCTTGATTAAATAACATCTTTTCATTGTTAATTAAATTTTAATTTGGAAGGAGTAGAACTTGAATAATAAAAGTAACACGATTAGGAAGAATAAGCCACACTTGAAAGAATACATAGTTTTAACATACTATGAATAGCTTTAATTCTGGAGTATGATATACCTGTTAAATAGAATATTGGTTGTTTTGAACAATTATTATGGTTAATAAATCCCATTTAATTGGTTTGTTCAAGAATGTAAAAAAGGATACCAAGAATTTTAGCTCCTCTATATGAACTGCTGTTGTGTGCCATCGAGTATGAACCTACCCATAGCTGACCCTCCAGCAGCTTTTCAGAGGCAATAAATCACATGGGAAGAGATTGCCCATCCTCCCAGGGAGTAACTGCATGGTGATAATGTTGGAGGAAATTACGCTGTCTCAGTTTTCCCTTATGTAAAGAGGAGATACTGCCTCATAAAGTTATGAAATTTAAATGATTCATTTAAAGCTCTTAGAAACAGCCTTCCTAGAAATACTTTGGTAGCACTTAATACATCATTTTAGTGTGTGTGTGAATGAGCTGTTCCTGCTGGTTGGTACTACGTATAATGCCTAATTCATAGATTTGTGATAATACAATGTCTTGTATATAGCAGTGGTTGGTTTGTTTTATGGCAAGTATTAAAATTGAAGTTTTGATTTTTTAATTCAAACTTTTTGACCATTTTGATTTCTTGGAATGTGAAGCTTTACTGTGCTTTATTTTAGAATTCATTGAAGACAGTATAAATTTGATGTTTATGGAAAATTGGAGACATCTTTAAAATATTTGTGTTTTGGAGAAGAAGTTCCACTTAAAACCAGATACCTAAGTTAGCTTTTCCAGTATATTACCACTTGATAGTACATTTTATTCTTAAAATATCAAATTCTCAAGTGAATTTCTATGAGCTTTGATTGTTGTTGTTGATGTTATGTGCCTTTGAGTCACCTTCTACTCATAGCAACCCTCGTACAGCAGCCCTAAACCCTGCTCTATCCTGTGTCAATCTTATGTCTCTGACACACATGCCCCCATTATCCCAGTCACTGAATCAATCCATCTCATCAAGGGTCTTCCTCTCCTGCGCTGTCCCTCCACTCTCCCAAGCTTGACTTCCTTCTCCAAGGACTGATCCCTCCTTGCAACATGTCCAAAGTATGTCAGATGAAGCTTCAGAATCTTTGCCTGGTTTAACCCTTTCCAGAACAAACCTATTCATTCTTTTAGCAGTCCATGGCATATTCAATACACTTCTCCAACACCACAGAACAAAGGCATCAAGTCTCCTTCTATCATCCCTAGTCATTGTCCAGCACTCTCTTGCATAGCAAGTGACTGCAAAGACTATTGCCTGTATCAGGTGCACCTTAGTCCCCAGACTGACATTGTTGCTCTTCAGTACTCTGAAGAGGTCTCTGACAGCAGACTTTCCCAACACAGTACGTCTTTTAATTTCCTGGCTGCTGGTGCCAAGAGTGTTAATTGTGGAGCCAAGCAAACTAAAGGTGTTTACAATCTCTCACCATCCATCACAATGCCGCCAATTGGTCCAATGCATGCAAGTTACATGATTTTACAAACAGTGCAATCCTTGAACATTAGTTTCCTGTGTAAGCTGCACATGTTATTGATATACACACAGTGTTTACGTGAATCCCTTATATATGAAAATATTGTATTCTTCCAGTATTAAATTCTATTTAATTGGTTCTTTTGTTTGATCTCTTTCACAGGCTATTGAAAAGTATTGCCGAGTTAGTGGTGGATTTTCTGGGGTCAAGGATGTATATGTCTCTACTCCCACACATGATGATGTACAGCAGAGCTTCTTTCTTGCTGAAACATTGAAGTAAGTATATTCCTTAGTATTTTGCTGTAGGCTGTTTCTGCTGTAAAATCAATATAAGTAAATTATCATTTGATACATTATTCTAAATTTTACTCTAAATATGTTCTCATGTATTTCTCATGCAGTTAAATTTTTAACTGCACCTGAATAAAACATCATACTGGGAAAAGTTAGAGGTCAATGAAGGAAAATGAGATGCTCAGTGAGATGCATTGATGCGATGACTGGAACAGTGTGCTTGAGCATGGTGGAGATTGGTGATGATAGGGAAGAGTTGCAGTTTGTTGTTTGTAGGGTCACACCTAACAACAAGAAGAAGAATGACTAGACTATGACGTATAGATAATTAATTAAAAAAAACAACTATTACTTTAAATTCTTTTGTCTTTAGATCTTTAGCATGAAACAGAATCACCAGGAATACTTTCTAGCATACAAATTACTGGGCTATTGTTTCTCACATTTCAGACTTATTAGGTCTGGAATGAAACCTGAGAATTTGCATTTGTGACAAATTTCTAGATTAGAGTGCTAATGTTCATCCCTAACCAGATCTTGAACACATTGCCCTTGGTAAAGCTCTTAGGGAAACATTAGTTTTCCTTTAATGCTGATGTCACATTCTGTTCATAGTCCAGCTTTGTGAATTAATTGGACAGCAAACAAATTGAGTAAGTATGGAGAAAAGATTCTTTTTTTTTTTTTTTTCACTTTAAACCATGCCGTGTTCTCTTACTCCATCTAGACAACCAATCTTTTCATCTGTTTACTTATTTTGTATGACTATAATTAAGTGGTCGGGATTCCTCTTCTCCTCACGGTTAGACATAGTTTATTATGATCCACACAGTCAATGCCTTTGCACAGTCAATAAAATACAAATAGACATTCTTCTGGTATGCTCTGCTTTTAATCAGACTCCATTGGATAGCTTCACTGATACAATGTCCTTTTCTAAATTCTGCTTAAATTTATGGCAGTTCTCTGTCAGTGAACTGTTACAGCTGTTTTTAGATTATCTTATCTTCAGCGTCTTTTGCTTTCATGTGATGTTAATGATATTCTTTGGTAATTTCCACATTTTGTTTGATCATTTTTTTTGGGAATGAGTACACACACAGATCTCTTCCAGTCAGTTGGCCAGGTAGCTGTCCTCCAAATTTCCTGGCACAGGCTGATAAGCATATCCAAGACTGTTTCTATTAATTGTCATAGATCAGTTGGTAACACATCAATTTCTGGGGTCATCATTGTTTAACAATGCCTTTAGTGCAGTTTGAATTTCTTTGTTACCATTGACTCTTTATCACATGTTGCCATCAAGTTGAGTACAATCTTAGAGGCCCTATGAACAATAGATCAAACCCTGTCCTATCCTGTGCCTCCTCACACTTTCTGACACACTGGAGCTTATTGTGGCAGTCACCATATCAATCTACATGACTGAGGGTCTTCCTCTCCTTTGCCAACCAACCCTCCACCTTTCCAAACATCATCAATCGTCCCTCCTGGCAACATGCCTGAAGTATGTGAGGTGAAGCCTCCTCATCTTTGCTTGCAAAGGAGCACTCTCGCTGCCCTTTAATCAAGATGTATTTGTTTGTTCTTTTGACAGTCCATGGGATGTTCAGTACTTTTCACCAAATCCACAGCTCAAAGGCATCAGTTATTCTTCTGTCAATCTTATTCATTGTTCAGCTCTCAGATGTGTAGTAAGCAACTGAAAAGACTATGGGCCAAGTCAGAAGCACCTTAGTTCTCAAACTGACATCATACTCCTTAATAATTTGAAGAGGTCCCTGACTGCAGACTCCCCAGTGCAGTACGTCTCCTGATTTCCTGACTGCTGGTACCAAGGGATTGATTGTGGGTCCAAGTAAGATGAAGTTGTTGACAATTTGAATCCTTCTAACATGATGTTGCCTTTTGGTCCAGTGGTAAGAATTTTTGTTTTCTCAACGTTGAGATGCAATCCATACTGAACCCTGCATTCTTTCTTTGATCTTCTGCAACAAGTGCTTCAGGTCCTCCTCACTTTTCAGCCAACAGGTGTGTCATCTGCATAATTCAGGTTATTGAGTCTTCCTCTCATCTTGATGCCACATTCTTCATGGACTTCCAACTTCTCAAATAATTTTCTTGGGGTACATATTGAATAGGTATGGCAAAGAATGTAACCCTGACACACTCTCTTCTTAATATTAAACCATATAGTGTTCCCTTGCTGTGTTCAGACAACACCCTGTTGGTCTAGGTATAGGTTTCGCATTGAGCACATTTAAATGGCCTAGGATTCCTATTCTTCTCAGCATTAACTGTAACTTGTTATGATCCACAGTCAGATATCTTTGCATAGTCAATACAACATAAATAGACATGGCATTTTTCTGGTATTCTTTACTTTCAGCCAGGAGCCTTTTGATATCAGCATTGATGTCCCTGGTACCATGACCTCTTTAAATCCTGCTTGGACTTCTGGTAATTCCCTATCTATGTACTGTTCTAGCCTATTTTGAATGATCTTCAACAGTATTTTGTTTGCATATGATATTAATGATATTGTTCAATAGTTTCCACATTCAGCTGGGTCACCTTTCTTGGAAATGAGAACAAATATGTACCTCTTCCAATCCGTTGGCCAGACAGCCGTCCTCCAAGTTTCCTGGCATAGACTACTGAGTGTGTCCAAGGCTGCATCTGTTAATTGAAATAAATCAGTTGGTATCCCATCAATTGCCAGGGCCTTATTTCTTGCCAGTGCTTTCTTTCAGTGCAGCTTCCACATCCTTCTTCATTACCATTGGCTCCTGCTCATATGGTGCTGCCTAAAATTTTTCAGTGTCAGTCATTCTTTTTGGTACCGTGACTCTTTATATCTCTTCCATCTTATGCTTTATGAGTCATTCAGTATATTGCCCGTAGCATCTTTCAATTTGAGGCTTGTTTTTCGGTTCTCTCGGCTTGAGAAATGCAGAACAAGTTCTTCCCTTTTTATTTTCCAATTCCAGGTCTCTGCACATTCCATTAAAATACTTTGCTTTGTCTTCTTGAGCTACCCTTTGAAATCTTCTGTTTAGCTCTTTTATTTTGACATGTTTTCCCTTTGTTTAGACTTCTCGATCATCTAGTGCAATTTTCAGAGTCTCTTCTGTCATCCATTTTGGTATTTTCTTTCTCCTCTCTGTAAAGATTTTTATTCTCTTCATGGTACTATTCTTGTTATCATCCTACAACCCATCTGGTCTTCAATCATTAGTGTTTGTTCAGTGCTTTAAACCTGTTCTAAGTTGATTTTTAAATTAAGATGGAATAGATTGAAGATCATATTCTTAGTTCTTATAGACTCGTTTTCATTTTCTTTTGCTTCAACTTGAACTTGCACGTAAATAATTAATTGTATGACCCAAAGTCTGCCCCTGGACTAGTTTTGTCTGCTGATACTGAGTTGCTCCAACAGTTCCTTCCACTTCATATCATATAGTATTTGCATATCATAATATATACTGCTTCCTAACTATTTGTGTTGATTAATTGTTTTACTAATTACGTATTTTTGCTTCATAGATTAGTACCTAAATATCTTGTGGTGGTGTTGTTAAGTGCCTTCGAGTTGTAGGCAACTCATAGTGACCCTAAGAACGAAAGACGTGAACACTTGTATAACTTTCGTCACTTCTCCAGGTTCATAGAGTTTCCAGAGGCAAGCCATTTTGGAAGTGAATGCCACTCCTGCTTCCAAGCTTGTTTTAACTAGGGAGCTCCACCAAACACTGTCTACCGTGGGTAATCACTATTGCGTTTGACTTATCAGCATCACAGTGTAGAGCATCACAGCAACCACTAGCTACCTCTGTACAGCAAATGAGCAAACCAGTGCTACTTAGAAAAATGTTTGACCAAAAACAATTAAAACCAGCCTGAGGGCCCAAGTGTGTTTTTAAATAGCAGGCCAAATCACATCATCTCACACCCATTAGTGAGTCAACATTCTACCCTAATCCTCTCTAGAACCAGCAAACAAGCCTCTGTAGAATCCGTCTGCTGCAGAGAACTTCCAAACTGGATTCCAGCCTCATATTGCTGACCAAATGCATTTTTAAACAGGAGGCTGAATCACATTATCTCACACCCACTAGTGAGTGAGTCAACATTCCATCCTAATCCTCACAAATTTTTTTTTTCAACAAATACATGGAATTTCGGCTGTTAAAGGCTGTTCAAGGTGCTTATGATAAATCAATAGATAAGGTTAGAAATTCCTACTTTTTAAGAGTGTCTAGCTATGCTCCTAATTTAACTCTTGTTGGTAGGTGTTATGGCACTGGAGATAAGTTTGAAAGTCATCTACAGTAGCTGGTTTTACAGAGGCTGGGATGAGTGAGCACGAGGGTGAAATAATGATTCGCTAAGGGAAGTGAGGCCATGTGATAAGGTCTCCTATTTAAAAATTCATTTGGTGAGCCTGTGGACCTCAGGCCTGGTTTAAATTGTTTTTTGTCAAACATTTTTCTAAGTGGTATAGCACTGGTCTTTGCATTACTGTACAGAGGCCACTTGTGGTTGCTCTGTTGCTAAACACTGACACTATTGTGTCAAATGTGATAATGGTTACCCATGGTGGACAGTGTTTGGTGGAGCTTCCCGATTAAAACAAGTTTAGAAGCAGGAGTGGCATCCACTTCCAAAATGGCTTACCTCTGGAAACTATGAACAGTGCTCAGGTCTTTCGTTCATAGGGCCGCTATGAGTCGTCTACGACTCGATGGCACTTAACCTATTTGTTGTTGTTGTTAACTATCAAAATACATATATTAAGTATACAGACACACACACACACGATAGAAATATATATGACAGAAAAATTAAGTTTCTTATTCTGATTCCCTCCTCACCCTTCCATCAACCCCAGAACTGTTATTTACTGTCTTTTCAAAGATACAGGGTTTCTCCTTCTAACATCATTCACTCTTCTGTTACATTATTTCTTTATGTGTAAATGT